GGGGCTGGGGGGGTCCCAGCTCCTCTCTCTGCTTGGCCACCGCCCTGTGTGTCCCCTCGTTGTTCCATGAGCCCAGCCCGTGTCGCAAGCTCCGCTCCCCGTGCCGGGGAGGCACCTGCTCTTCTGGCCAAACCAGGTTCTAGCACCCGTGTCAGGGAATGTGGTTGTGATGCTGCAAGCTCCGGTCACCCTTCCCTTGCAGCTCCTGGCTGCTCACAGCTCGGTCCTGCCCTGCTCCTCAAGCGCACCAGCACCCCTGAGCAGGGGAGGGGGGGTGGCTGAGGAGCTGGGAGTGCAGCTGTACAAGGACCCCCATCTCCTGGGCTGCCTAGTCAAAGGGACTGCGTGTGCAGCAAGAGGACTGGGGAACAAAAAGGGATGAGGGGAGGTTTTGTAGAGGCAAGAGGTGTTTTCCCTAAGTGTGTGTTTGTTTGTGCTCAGGTCGGATCCCTCCCAGTACTGGAAAGGTGTTCACTGTGGAAGAGCTGCTTGCTTTGGCCTCAGCTGAAGCCCCGATCTGCACCCGAGAGGCCTCAGCCTGGGGTAGAGCAGCCCTGAACACTGCCTCGTTTGTGCTTCGGGAAGGGGCGTGCGTGGCCATCCTGTCACCGTGGCAGCACACCAGAGAGCTGACGGCTGTTTTTCTCACCCCAGCCTTCACATGTTTCCCTTCGCACCAGCAGGAGCCAGCCGGTGCCTGTCATGGCCACAGATATGTGCAGAGCAGCAGGTAATCCCCATAATGCTGGTGTGCCTTTGGGGGGGCTTCAGGCTGAGCCAACCCTCAGTGATAGCTCAAAAGTGGCACCTTACACCCCCAGTCCTAGCCCTGCTTGCTCTGTAGGGCAGGAGCAGTTGCGTACTCCATGCTGAGGGGCAAAGCTGGCAGCCTCCAAGCCAGGACAGGGCTGGGCTCAGTTTTATCTGCCATACCTAAAACCCCCCATCCCTGTGATTGATACAGGACCATGTATGTGCCCCCCTGCCTGTGTCTGTGTGTGCACAAGCCGGTGCCCACAGGGACAGGGAGTGCTGCCAGCTCCAGCGACTGCTGGCATCCCCCCCAAGCCTGGGAACTCAAGATTTTGAACAAAATGTCATTCTCCCAAAGTCACAAAGTAAAGCTGGGGCATGCAAGAGAGAGTCTTGGAGGCCAGCATGCCCCCCTCTGCTCCCTTGGGAAGTGTTGTGGCCCCTGCAGAGGAGGAATGCCATGTACCATGGGCTGCCAGGGGGTTACAGCAGTTTGGTTTGGTTTGGCCCTGGGCTCCTACACATAACTGTGATGGGTTATGGGGCCTAAATAGGGACTGGGAACAGTGGGCTGTGGCTGGGATGCAGTGCTGTCTTGATGTGGTCAGATCCATCGGAAACCCCAGTGGATGGGGGAGAATAGAGGCAAGGGGTGCTTCTTGCACCCCTTGAGATCTCCCCTGCTGCAGGCTACTAAAGCCCCCTCAGA